CAGCTTCCTGGGGTGGCCCATGGCCACTCGTCTGCTTCCCCCCTTATATAGACTTATGTAACACTCAAGAAGGTTCTGAAAGATGCACCACACAGACACCCCATTTATGTGAGTCACAGGGACCATAAAGAAGAAGGATTCAGTACACATATAAAGAACAAGGAGCTCTTCCTTAAAATGGATGGAAATGTGGGTTGAGCTGTTTCCCTGACTCTCTGAACCTGAACTGATCATGAAGGGGGGAACAGACCTTTTAAAGCTTGACTCCATTATCACTTCTTCCATCAAGTCAGCCATTGGCTTTTGTAAGACCACATTCAAGGCCTGTAACTTCGAGACCTCAGGATTCCTTTCTCCACCTCACCCAATTTCACATTAGTTTGCTCTGGTCAAGATACATTTCTGCAGAACTCTGCTCCTCAGTACCTGGCCAATCAGCTTTGGCCCTGTCTGCATTGGCCAGATTAAATAAAACATCCTCCCTCCCCCCCCCATCCTTTTGGTGGGAGTACAGACGATGGACAGCCCAAACTCCAGTTCTTATCTGAACATTCTGGATGATGTCCAGCCCATTCAGCACTGGAACGAGGGCACATCCCCTTTATGATATTTAAAAACCTTACCCTCTGTCAGCCAGCACAGGCACCGCTGCAGTGTGTCACATGCTATGAGGTCAGAATGAGACACCCAGCCATGTCATTGATGCTGGGCACTTCGTCCTGACCTCAGAGACAGTGATGTGCTACAGCAGTGGAGGTACAAGGTGGTATAGCAGGACACATGTGTGAACAGCCACTTGGTGCTGCAACAGAGGTTCTTGTAATGGCAGGATGTCATACTCTGGGCTGTTCCTGGAATATTTTGGCCAGTGCAGACACCACCTTCATGTCAGTGAATGTTGTCTGAACACAGGGTGCATCTACACTGCACAATTAATGCAGTTTGACATAGCTTTAATTGCCATGTCTCCATACTACGGAATTCTGGAATTTGTAGTTTTGCATGCTATTTTGCCATCTCTGTCAGAGAGCTCTGGTGCCACAACAAACTTAACTATTGTAAGCCGCCCTGATTGTTTGACAGAGGAGTGGGATATAAATAAAATTTATTATTATTGTTGTTGTTGTTCTTGTTGTTGTTAACATTACAAATCCCAGGATTCCATTGGTTGGACCCATGACAGTTAAAGTAATGTCAAACTGCATTAATTCTGCAGTGTGGCAGCAGCCTAAGTCTCAATTCATATAACAGTCAGATTCCAAGATGAATCTGTGGTGTTAATCATTATGGAGCTGAAAGAAAATCTATATTCTAGGTTGATAATCTGACAATGTTAACAGTTGAAGTCCAATATTGAATGTAGGCTCTCACACATGCAAAGCAACCACTTTTCTGTGGTTGCCAATTCTGTCATCTCTTTTAATGAAAAGATCAGACCACAAGTTCTGGAAAGATTCATGGACGACTCTTCCTGTTAATATATATTCAGACACTTCATATTTGGCATTATTTACATATGCCAAAAAAAAATAAGCATCATGAGTCTGAGTACAAATGAAAATAATCTCCAAATCAAAGCTCCATAAATACCCTCATCTTAAAATATCTCTTTATAGCACTACGTATTGTAAAATAAAAGACTCAACCTGACCATTTCCTCTTTGTTCCACCATTCATAGAAAAAAGATATAATACTTGTACTTGTATAATTACAAAAATAACAGCTAAGAACTCAATTTACATAAGAATTAAAGTAAAGTAGATAGTTCTGAAAAGGATTATACTTTTTTTTGTGGATGCAAGCCAGTACTACTCAATCTAATTCTAGATTATCTTGAACATCAAAAGTATTTTGTGAGTAAAGAGACAGAAACCAATCTGAGCTGATTTTTTAAAAATTTTTGCTGGACAGCTTGGAGGAATCTGTCTTGCTCCAAGATGTCAAATACTGTAAAACGAATAATGTCACCTTCTCTGGAATAAACTGACATTTACACAAAGGAATATGGCTGTATTCTACAATATGCATTCTTATGGGGGCTGTAAAACACGAAGATGATGATGACAATGATGAAGATAATTTTGCAAAACCTTAGTTTCTTCCATCGAAGGCAGAAGAATAGTCAATGTCAGATCAAATTAACTTCTTTCTATTTTGCTATCACTTCCTTCTTCATTCTAAATATTGGTCAGTAATCTGCTGACTAAAAATAATAAAGTGTGTCTACAACAGCTTCAAACTGTATTTTGGATATTTCTTCAATATTCCTTCAATACTTCTGATTGTATTTTTAAATTTATTTATGCTGAAACTGAGAACTAAAATAGTTTTTTTAAAAAAAAACACACAAGGTGGAAATCTTAAGCACCTAAGAATAAAACATTTACTGTACAGAGTAATAATCTTGAGTTAGAAAATAGCCTGATGAAAAATAAAGCATATACCCCTTTCATTGTTCACCACAGCTGTAACTGAATGGTAATATGCAGGGGAGCTAGATTGAATACATATCTTATATATGCGTATATGGCTTACTATCAAGTAAACAAATTTAATGATTAATCCTATCCTGCCCACAATTCACTGGCACTAAATTCAAATGGATGCAACAAGATTTCAAAGTAGATGTACATAGGACTGCACTGTTAATCTGTCAAATGCTCAATATATATCTCAAGGTGAGGAACTTTTTCAGTGTAAGGGCTGAATTACAATTTGGGAAATGTCTTGAGGACTGAAATTTGGTAGGACTAAGGACACCAGAAGGAAACACAAACATAGGCAATTTCAACATTTTCCTATCAAGCTCCAGAGCATAGTTCAATTCTCTGAAAGTCTGCTGCTGATTAAGGCCTAGTAGCACAGTTCAGTTCCATATAACAGCTTTCAAGCATGCAAATCATAGCTCAGTTCTATACCAGGTACTTAAAATTACATCTTAATACTCACTTATCTCCAAACATTAATCAGATGATAATAATTACAGAAGCTTGTGGACCAGGAAGAGTATCCCCACAATGTTTAGTAAGCCAGAGGATCCTCATCCCACATATTCACCAGATTTCCTAAAATAAACCTTTAACAATTTTGCAGACAGTTTAGAAATTCTCATAGAATTGTTATGCTTGACCATTTGGTCATGTCTTCTATAAGTTTGCACAGTTCTTCTCTTTCAAGACTGTCTCAAAACTTTTCAAAGTCCATTAAAGCAATTGGAATATATCAATTCCCCCACTCAATCAACCAGTAAGTTGTTACTACTCTGATATACTCTATTTTCTTGAAGGAAGTAAAACCATGTATATGATCTCACCCACTTACTTGACTCATAACAATCTTTTCAGGTACATTGGACTAAGACATGGTGACTGACCCATGGTCACTCAGTGAGCATCATGGTCAGTTAGAGATTTGAACTGATATTGCTTGTCCAAAATCCAGCCATTATAATGCACTGGCCTACCTAACATATACCCTATATCAAGGGACAGAGGGTAACATGCTATTTGTTTTTGCACACCCACACACTGAGCTTCTAACACATATCAGCAGGGTATTTTTGCACTAAAGCCATATAGGGGATGCACACTTTGTTCTGAAGAGACTAATTCTCCCACAAATGTCCATGGTCTTAAGTTCTCTAAAACAAGATGTGCCCCCCCCCCACCTTGTTTCAGTGCAGGATTTTCGAAACTAGTAGTATTCGACTTGTTCCTTTTGCTACCACATCATCAAATTTCAGTGGCACATTGCTGAGTGCTACTCATAGCAGGATCTGAGTTCTAACAGTGCTTCCTGCATCCACCAAAGTTGCCCATCCTGTATTAAGCCAAGACATCTGGAAGCAATTTGATTATCTCCACAAAGCTATTTTAATGGATTCAATATATTCTACAGCTTGAGAAGGAAAAAAAACACCACAATATAGGAAATCCAAAACATTTTCATTACACCAGTTTTTAGTTTCAAAGTAACACACCTTGAATGTTAAAATAACTTTTTCTTGTGCAGTCTTGCACTAGTGCAACAAGTTTAATGGCGAGTCTATTTTGTTTTGCTTCTTTTATTCTTCTGATTGCCTATCTTTATTCTGCCCTACATTTCACTTCATCCACTGTCCATGTCCATGTGGATTTTCAATTTAATTTCCTTCTGCTAATTTGATCTCCAGCTGCTCGCCATATTTCTAACATCAGTATTTTGTTTTTCTTTTCTACTGTAGAGCTCCCCTCCAGCTGTATTCAACCTCTTCCATTTTTTCCCCATTTTGCACAATTGTGCCCAACCTTTAGTTTTTAAATTTCTTTCTACATTATAGGATGTAGCTTTGAATTCACCCTTCAGATGTGAATGTAGAAAAGCCTCCTTTTAAATATGTGTGGTAGTAGCTTCTTACACAAGTATGCATGATGGGAAATAATAACAAGAAAATTCTTCTTGCAATACCAAGAATTGCTGAAGAGACATTTTCAGAGCTACAGAATTCAATTTAGACATGGTAATTGCAAATGTACTTTTTTTACTACTGAATGTCAATGATTCAGTATTTCACATCCTTTGATTAAAGATGGCTTTGTTAAGATAGTTATCCAGGAAAATGTTCTTTAAAATAAGCCTTTGGTTTTAACCTAATCCAGATATCTTTAGCCTTATTCTTTTCAATAGGAGAGAGCTATACTGAGGTATGATAGCTTCCACTGAAATCAGTAGGACATAAAAGCGCTTAGCCATGCCAGGATCATGCTATCAGATTTTAATCAGGGGTGGTGGAAGAAGCTTTAAAAATCATGGACATTCCATGTATGGCTTGTTTAGCATAATGTGTGAATTTCTCTATGTCCTGGCACACCAGTTTATGACTGTGGCTTGCATAGGGAGAGACATAGCCCAGCCTACAAAAGAGACTAACTTGCAGAACACCCTTGAGGATATTTAAGGATTCTTCTTTCTGTATTTGTGCATCCCTTTCATTTAGAACATATGAGGCTTTGCAGAGAGAGCCAGTGTGGCATAGTGGCTTGAGTGCTAGATTATAACTCTGGAGAGCAAAGTTTGATTCCCCGCACAGCCATGGAAACCCACTGGGTGACTTTGGGCAAATGACACACACTCAGCTCCAGAAACCCTTGTGATAACTCTTAGGGTTGCCATAACTTGGAAATGACTAGAAGACACACAAGGGGGGGAAAAGGCTTTGCAGAACTAATGAGAAGCAGTGTTAGAATAGAACAAGCAATGTTCTCAAAGGTGAGTTGCTGGCCCAGCTTCTTCTTCAGAACAGAGAGTGTGCACTTATGCAGTTTAACTAGGATTTGTATTCTGAAAGACAGAGAAGGCCAAATCTGTCTGACATACTCTATTGAAAACTACAAGTCCCAGGATAACTTCTGTATAGACAGAAACAGCTTGTAGGAGGGGAAAAGATTATAATAACCAAGTTCAAGATGGGGAAATGACATATTATGAATAACACTGCTCATGTAACACATTACATTTCATTCTGACCTCAGAGCGACTCATGTCTGCAGAGCAACTCAGCAAAGACACATGCAGAGACCACATGGAAAGGGAACCAGTTGTCCCCGCCTCGTTTTGCTATGGGTTTTCTGGAAACCCAGACCAAAAAGTATGTCTTTTTACTGTGGGAAACCCAGTCAAAAAGGTACATTTTTTTAGTATGGGGAAAAGGGGTGGAAACTCCAAATTGGGTCCAGCATTGTGTAAAGAGCCCAGATCCAATTAGGGGGTTTGGACCTGCATAACATAAACAACACACAGCGAGCCCAGGGGGAATTCAGGGTTTATAAGTAATGTAGACAATAAGATGGAAATGACTTGAAGGCAAACAATAATAATCAGGGACATTGATCATAGGCTCAAAGAACCACAGCTATTAAAGGGACCCAATGGGCCATCAGGACATGATTTCCACCTACAGCATTCCTCAACAAATAGCTGTCCAGACTCTTTCTGAAGACATTTAGAGAAAGAAATCCCATTACCTTTCTAGGGAATTGGTTCCATTGCTAAAATCACTCTCACTGTCAAGAAATTCTCTCTAACATTCAATCAAAATCTATTCTCCTTTAACTTAAAAACATTACACCTAGTTCCATCCCAAGAAGCAGCAGAGGACAAGCTTGCACCCTCTTCTTTGTGACAGACCTTGAAGTATTTAAAGAGTGTGATCATGTCACCCCTCAATCTTCTCTCCACCAGAATAAACATGGCAAGCTCATTTGTTCTTTATTGGGGGGAAAAACGGGGGGGGGGGGTCCTCCTTGGATTCCATTATACTTGAGAACTATCAGCCAGTCTTATATGAAATTGCTGGGAGAGGTCACCCAGAGTTTAGGGGTGTACAACTCTACCTCTCCTTTCCATCAGATTCTAAAGAAGATGTTTCTTCTTATGCAGTTGCAGGAAATGGCTGCAATCGAAAAGCCAGGAAACCCTGATGAGAACAGCACAATGCATGGGACTTGCAACATTACATTCTTCATCTAGTGCAGAAAAGGAGCTTGAATTGGTCCTTGTAACTGTGGCCTGAAACATACAGATCAAAAGGTGTGGCTTCCAGCTGCTTTGAGGTCGCAGCATGGCATGGCGATCATGCATGGCCCAGATTGGCCGGAAGCCACTCCGAGGCCACCTAAGGTGGCCTGAAGCTGGCCAGAAAAGGAGTTGCAAAAAAACACTCCTCACTGGCAGCTTGTTGAAGACCACAGCAACAGCCGGTTTCGGAACCATGATGTCTGGCTGCTGCAGTCCTGGGATGATCAGGGGTCAACCAGGGCTGGAGTAGTCAACATGTTTTATATTACTCTTTTTCAGGCATGATGCTATATGCATCAGCCGCCCCAACTGATCTCAGAGCAAAAAAGAGGGAGTTTTAGGTCCTGGCAGATAATTCTCAGCAGGGAACCATGGTATAATTTTCAGATTTCAATTTCAGACTTAAAATTTACACTTTGCATTCTTGAACTATGGGACTGTATGTATAAGATGGGATTGAGGTGTGTGTGATGAGGGACTGATTTTACCAGGCTCTCAAAGTGATATTTGGGTTCTGTCAGGTAACCTTAATTTCTCTGTTGATGCAATGTGAACCTACAATTTGAAGAAGGAAGAAAGGAAAGAGTGCTACAGAGTTCATGCACAGCTTAAGAAAGAGATATAATTATGAGAGAAGATAGGGGTTAGAAAGAAAACAACAAAAGCACTTAACAATACCATACAGCAATAACCAGGGAATGAAGTCAAGGCCACTGGAATCTGTTTTGTTACACTGTTCTCCTTTTCTTTTTAAGCTATTTGCACATGATAGTTGGGGAAGATGAGAAAGAAAAGAAAAGAAAAATGGTTCATTGAACTTCTTACTTGTCAAGAATGGCATGACAATAAATGCAAGACAAGACAGTCAGCCCAGTTATATAGGTCTAGGCCACCAAATGTATATTTGAAATAAGAAGTGTCTGGTCTTCTGTATCACCATTGAGTCAGATTTGCTATCTTCAACTAGAATATACAGCCTGTCATGTTTTATTGCTTAATTAGCAACTTGTAAAATCATTAGACTACAGAACTTCAGTGTTAGCTTCCCTTCACATATAAACTTACTTTTTATTGGGATAATGATCTGAGGAATGACAGGAAGGATCTTGTTCCCCCCATGCTCCAGCATATCATGGATGCCTTGCCGAGCAAAAAACTCATAGGGAAACTGCATTTCGCATAGACCATCAAAAAACAGTGGCAAATAGTGATGATAGTCCAGCTTCTCAATTTCTACCTGAAAATGACACAGAGAAAACAAAATCCAAATTAAACATCTAGATAACTTAGAGGATTCATGGTAGTGGTGTAATATTTAGGGTCCATTAGTATATTCAGGTATGCCAACTGTAATGATGATGGATTCCTGAGGCTCTCAGCCACTAGAACCAAAGTAGCTTTTATAGCTGATTTATCATGTTTAAGTTCCAAATATTATTTGATATGATGGATGCAGAGTATAAGGCACTGAATCATTATTAATAAAGCTGATTCTAACAAGCAGGTTGATTCATCAAGTGCATGGCTTCCCCAATTTTTAAGCTAAAACTGAAAACAGAAATTCATTTTCGGTGCATTAAAGTTGTTAAAAACTGGCTGTACTAATTACTTATGCTACTGTGAACTTACTACTAGTACATATAGCTATAATACAACAATTTAATTGAGGCATATTAGTGATAGACAATGATAAAATTGGATACATTCAAATCAATAGTTTTATTTCTAACATACATATGAATGGGCTACCTTTAATCTGATTGTTCAAAGAATTTATCAGATCAAAAAATGTGTGAGAAATGTTGATCATCTTCTTCAAACAATCATAGTCCACACTAGTATATGTATTATTCTGAAGAAGAAAAATGCTTCTGATGTTATCATTTGGCTGTATCACTTCTTTCCTTTTAATGAAAGGACAACAAAAATATTTTCTACTCTTACTAAAATTTTTTTGACATTTTAATTATTTCACAAACTTTCAAACAATCAAATGGAGCATCTGCATTTTACTCATCTTTCAACCATGTTGCAGACCACATTTTAAATAATTTTAACATCTAAGAATTCCAGCTCTTCATTTAGTACAGTGGCTCTTGTTATCTGCTGGGGTTTGATTCAAGGACACCCCCCCCCCCCCCCCGTGTGGATAACAAAATCTGTGGATGCTCAAGTCCCATTAAATACAATGGCTTGGAAAATGGTGTTCCTTATATAAAATGGACAATCAAGGTTTGCTATTTGGAATGTATAGTTTTTTGGAATATTTTCAAGCCGTGGATGCCTGAATCCATGGATAAAAAAAAAAATCCATGGATAAGAAAGGCCAACTATAGTTCAGTCTGAAGCAACTGCATTCATTTTACACACTAAAGTGCATTTTATTTAATTAGACAGTATTTCAAAGCTAGTATTGATGACGTATCATTTTCTATACTACTACTACTACTACTACTATTACTATTATTTGTATCCCACTTCCCTTCCATATTGGGACTCAACGCAGCTTACAGTCTAAAAGTACAGTACAATTAAAAACATACAAAAGTGATAATTAAAATGGAAATAAACTATTACAATATTAAAACAGATCACTGTTTAAAAAAAGAATACAATTTAAAAAAGATAAAAGCACTTAAAAACCATACACTTTAAAACAGTACAACACCCCCAGGACATTCTTTAAAAACTTTCTGTTTTAAGAGCCTGTATGAACAAAAAGGTCTTGACCTGCCAATGGAAGGACAACAAGGAGTCTAGGAGCAGCCACCAAGAAGGTCCACTCTAGCGTACCCAGGAACCATGCTTGTGATGGTGATGGGACTCAGAAAAGGGCCTCTCCTGAGGATCTCAGAGCCTGGGCCAGTTCACAGAGGGAGAGATGTACTTTTATTAGCAAGATGCCTGATTTATAGTGGTCTAAGCTGTCAGTACACTGACATATTTTTCATTAGAAATTGTCAGTCGTGGATTAGATTTATGAAACTTCTTTAAATTGTATTACTATTATACAGCTTTCCTATAGTTATGTAGTAGTGGGTAGCTGGTAACACTTGGGAAAGGGCATCAATGAATTTCTTGGAGAATCTGGTATGTGGGTGTGAAGCTGTTTTTTTATCTTGCGTGTTTAATGACTTCCCACAACACAGAATCCTGAAGTATGTTAGAAATAAATTCTACAGTGTTAAATTCTTTTTACCGGTACTTTTGTCTTTATTATTTAGCTTTGAAAGGTGAACACTTTGCAAGTGTCCAGAAGAAGCATTTTTTTTTTTTTTTGCTTACATCTACAACACGCTTCTAAATGTTTCATTTCCTCATAAAGTATTCTTTAGTCAGAACTAAAAAACCTTGGTTGCACAAACTTTATCTGCTAAGACACTGGCAACAGCTCTGTGCACCTTTATTTTTTGTATAGAAATACAACAAAAGTTTATTGGAATCATGCAAAAAACAACATCAACATAAGTCAGAAAGTCAAAAGGAAATAGAGGATTGGTATTTATCACAACAAAT